CACCAGCCGCCGCACTGCACACATTACCACATACAGAACAATGAGCCGAGCAATTCACCTCTTACGGCGTGTCCCACCAAATTGTAAATAGATAACAATCCAACGAGCAAAATATGTATTAAATATATCGGATTTTGTTCCCTTATCTGACAGTGACATCATTTTTAAGCTATCAGAACCTCTATCAGCCAGTTGTGGGACGGACCCTTTGTGTTCACATCACCAACATCCATAACATTGAAGTGAGGAGTTACATTGCAACTTGCAAATTGCTCTTTACCACTGTAATTTATAATAAAAACTCACCAAGTGAATGATCTGGCTGATGTGTGGCATATTTTGGCTTCGGTCTGACCAGAGACTCGCTGAGCAGAGACAGGCGCGCTTTTAGTCTCAGCTGCGGCTCGCTGGCTGCACTGGCCACACTGGCCACGGCGGGGGGAATAACCACTGGTGCACTGCTGGTGTTGCCGTTGGGGACCAGTGCGGTCTTGCTGGCCAACTGCAGCGCGCGCTCGCATACCGTCGCCAGCCGCCGCCACGACATATCGTTGTGTTGTGCCGCCTTATACAAAAAATATATTTTTTAAAAGCGAAAACGATTTATGTTACTTGATTCATTGAAAAGTTCTTGTTTTTTTTTTATTTTCAAGTTATAAAAATAGATCTTTGCTTATGTTCATTTTTGGACAATTGAGTAATAGACTAAAGCAAAATTTACTTTATTTTAAACTGAAAAAATAAACATGTAAATAGACATCTATTTAAAATTTGGCGCCATTTGATTGTCGGCCATTGTGGCATAACAAGAGTAACCGAGAGCCAATAGCGATAGAGATCGGGCGCTGTCTCGAGTTAGAGCGAGATGCAACATAACAATCACCGTACGGCAGAAAAGGACAGTTGCGTCACATATTACGAGTTGTTAGAATTCTGATGCATGATTATCACTTTTTTCAGAAATAAAGTGAAAAACTTAATTTTTGTCAATGAATGATCATATATGTATTTTTCTCATATTTCCGCCACATTTTCACGTTCATTTTCGTATAAGACACGATTTAAGAAATTTTCCGTTTTTTTCACATTTCCACTATTCCTCGTAGAATAACTACGCTTAAAATGATAATAAACAGCTGTTTCAGTAAACAAAAGTATAGTAAACTCACCAATTCATCGTAAGACTGCGTGTGTTCGTTGCCCTCCCAGTCAAGCCGTCTGGGCAGCACCTGCAACAGCGCGGAAGTGCAAAACTTTTCAGTAAACTTTCAGCGAGTTTGACAGCCGTAGCCACGTGCGTTTGCGATCAAAACAACACTAAGCTTCAAACCCGGCACTAGGAAAAGCTCAAACTTACCTCTACGCGCTCGAGCTCTTTCAGTAAAGTCTGCGGAAGAAAAGGCCTTCTATAGTATTTTTAACACTCGATTTATTAAAAACAAAGGTATTAGAATCTTATTTACCTTCGCAGTCTCCTTCAGAGGGCCGCCGGAGAGAAATTTCGCTATCAGAAAGTAGAGTTCTGAAACCGGGAAGGCTAACGTTACTCGACCTCGCACTCAAGACACTCTCGATATCTAGCTCAATTTTGAAGCACTAGACTTACCTGGAACGACATTGGCCTCCTCATTAGACTCCTCCATAATCCTAGTTTTTATAACTGTGCTCAAATATCACCTCACATATCACAAATACACGAAAAATCTCACAAACATTTCGTTCAGAATATTACATTGTTGATGAAAGATAATGCACCCTGTTATAATAGCAAAATGGCGTTAGCTACATGGATAAAACAGCACGCGAGGGTTCGGTCTGTCATGTTCATTTGATGTGTCTTTCTGATCCTAGATGGGGCTATTTTCACTTGACAGGTGGAAAAAAAGCCAAAGAAATTGCATCAATTGACATTTGCAGGCATTAATTTAAATTCCACATTGAATTTTTCGGCTAAGGGGCCAAATTGATGGAAAACGAGCTACTAAAATGATAATTCAAAGTTTTAAAATCATAAGAATTCAGTGTTCACGTCGCCTTTTCATTTTTTTCATTGGCAATTACTTTCAATGTTTGTTTTTTCTAGCAGCAATACCAAAAAACGTCAAAATCCTGAACAAATTGACAAATTGGCATATTGCTTGCCGATTGCTTCTTTTGCTTATTTCAAGTTATTATCTAGAATATCAAGTTTTTTTTGTGACAAATCAACTAAGTTTGTATTAATTCAAGGTATAATCCCAAATGGTTCATGTAAATTCCAGCGTACACTCAGTGTACTGAAGTGTTAGTCGAGGGCGGAGGCTGTGCTGATGGTTGTGTTTATGTTCAAAGATTTCGATTTAGCGCGGCCTTATGGCCACCGACAGTTTCTAGTATGCTGCTACAAGAATCTCCACAGTTTTACCATTGCTTAAATCGTAAGTATGATAATCTGTGACTGCTTTACAAGTACGTTTTGTTAGAATCAATACAGGTTATTTATTGATTTGCTAAATTTACCCGGGAATCTGAAACAGGTCAACTGTGAGCGTTTATGTTACCCTCCAATGAATATCAAAGGAGCTTTTAGAATTTAGTATTTAAATAAGAACATTGAGTTAACACAGTTAATGTTTACTGAAAGTTAAAATTTTTTAAAGAAGTTACATTTATATCTTATTATTGTCAACCTATTTTGCTTCATATTTGGTTTTACAAGCTGTTAGACTCCGTCCAGACCAGGTTCAAGTATAGTTTAGTTCAGTTGGGGTTTAATTAATTTTACAGCAACTATAGAAGGAATACATGAATCTATTTGAGTGTTTTTTTTTTAAGAGAATAATTGAAATTAAGTTCCAAAATATGTTTTTTTTACATTTTGTACTATATGCTATATACTGATATTCTCGATAACATCTGTATTGCAATGTTGCTGTTCATTTTTAATTGAAACATAATTAATACTTAACAACATTTTAAATTCTCAGTAACAGGTTTTAATATTTATGACAGAATATCAATTTACTTTAATTTTAAATTTAGAGTTAAAATTGAAATTAAAAACACTTATCTGTCTTCTGTTGTTACTGTTGTTTTTCTATGTATGTTGTTTAAACCTACAATTAGGAGAAATTATCTGCATGTTATTTATTGTATTGTAAAAATATGTTAAACAAGTTACTGCTGTTGGTTTATCTCAATAAAATAAATAAATTGACTTAGAATTTAGAATTTAAAAATATGATAGCACAGCTACTATATAAAATTCATTGGTAAATTTAAAGAAATTCAATTTTAACATTTAAGAAATGTAATAAACAGAAACTGTGGACATACTTATACTCAACTCAACTCTAGTTTATTAAGGTTTCTATTTCTCGCTTACATAGGTTCGGAGTCTGAAAACTGCAACTTTTTAAACAACCATAACCAAATTGTGAAGTTTACGTCAATGCTAGGATATGGTCGTTAGTGTGCGGTTATTGTGTCAGGGGTGCGGTAATGTCAGGCACGGCGGCGAGCGTGGGC